TTCTTTTGTGTGTGTGTGTATATATATATATATATATATATATATATATATATATATATATGTGGCTTTTTCAAAGCAGCAGTAACATTCTCTCTAGTATTTATTTATGTTTGTGTCTTATTGAAAACAGACCAAAAATTTGTTGCCTGATTTCACCTTCCACCTTACTCACTGTGCTCACTTACACTGCACTTGGGCCTTCTTTTGGGCCCATGAACTCAAGCTCTTTCCGGCCTCCAGGCCTTTGCATAAACTGTTCTCACTGCCTAAAACACTCCCCTACTTTATCTTTGCCTGGCTAATTTCTACTCATTTTTCAGATCATGGCTCAGCTGTTACTCGTTCATGAAGGCCTTCTGTGATCTAACGCTGTGAACTATAGTTATTCACTCATATTATTTCTAATTGCTTGCCCTCTTAACTATAAGCTCCATGAGAGAAGTGGCTATGTCTCTCTCTCCTTTTTTTTTGTAGACATGTCTCTTTTGCATACCACTATATACCCAATGCCTAGCATCTGGAGGCACTCAATATAAACTTCTTAAATGCATTTCTCTTTCAAATGTTAAATACTATAAAAGAAAGTAAATACATATTATGACTCCAATTGCACTCTAGGGATTTCCAACCTTTTTTTTACTTCATGGCACAGACAAAAAGCAGTATTTGTAAAGCATACTGAAATAAAACAAATGAGGCTAATCAAGCCTGGAAGTAACTAACCAATGGGTTCCTCTGCTTTTCCCACACAGCCTTGCTGCCCTGAAAGCTAAAAGCATCAATATCTCAACACATGTGACACAACAGAGTGCAATGGGATATGGTTAGGAGGCTCTGTATTTTTCAAATAGTTTCTTCTGCATATTTTGCTAATGCGATTATATCTAATGTGCCTGAGAAAGAACTAGTCCTATGTAAAAGGATTACCAACAGTGCTGGTATTCACATACGCCTCAAACTAGGTGTGTATTTTGATAAATGTAAGGTATTAACCCAGACAGCAATTGAATCATTACGAGGTTAAGCTCAATCATATGAAATCTGTAAAGCTATGTAATCACTCACCTTGCAGAGCAAAAAGAGAGGCTGCATCTGTGGCTGTCTCAGATGGGGCTTGTGTTATTGGCCTCAAGTATGATCTATAACCTTTTAAAATAGAGGCCATGAAAAACAAAAATGCCTCTTGGATTTCCAAATCTATCATGTGCAATCTCTTTCCATAATTAAAATCACAGTCATTCATTGCTAAGTCCATTAGTCCATCATCTCTCGGTCTCTGCTGCACTGTGAAGAAATACAGTGTCAATGTTTTCTCCAAATTGTCAAAAATAATATTCATGGTGGTATCAATATAAATTTCTTGTGTTTGTCAAAAAAGGGCTCAAGTTACCTTAACCCTTTGTTTACATAATTTCATAATATGTAAACATCAAGCAAAGCTTGCTATATTATATATTACTCTGTAGGCACTGTTCAGTACATTTTATACTGTTTATCTATCTACTTCCAGGAAAAATATTCATGTTCTGAAATAACTATATATAAGCTAATAAAGAAAGATCATAACAATCATATGGACTACCACAGGGTTAAATGCAATAGTCCTTCCTTCCCACCTTCCTTTTATTAAATATAAGTGCCTACAGGAGGAACACACAGGGATTAAAATATAAAAAACAACTCTTCCTCTTCCCAGACAATTCAATGCTAATGCATTAGGTAGTAAAAGAGTAACTTTACAGTAGAGAAGCCTAGTAGACACCACTTTAATCAAGTGATCAAAGTGAATATTTCATTAATAATGGAACAGATTGAAATAGAGTGCGACCTGATAAATATGCAATGACAGAAATGCACCATCACTTTTGTGATATTCTTGCCAAAGATGCATGACCTGTATCTATCTATCATGAGGATGCTCAGACAAATGCACATCGCGGACTATTCTATGATGGTAATGATAATCTTCAAAAGTGTCATGAAAATGAAGGGAAACTGAGGAGCTGTTCTATAGGAAAGGAGACTAAAGAGACTTGAAACTAAATATGACACCTGATTTGGAACTGGATCCTTTTACTATAAAGAACATTATTAAGATAATTGGCTTGGATAGAGCATGGTGTTGATAACACCAAGTTCAAGGGTTTAGATCCCTATACCAGCCAGCTACACACACACACACACACACAAATTGGCAAAACATGAATGTGGTTTGAGGATTAGGATGGCAGTAATGCTCATATTAATTTCCCAATTTTCATGGTTGTGTTGTAGTGATATAGAGAATACACTTGGTAAGAAATACCTTCTATTCAAAGGTCATGGAGTTTTGCTCTCAGAGGGTCAAGAAAAAAAAGTTAGTGAGTGCTTCAAAATTAAAAAATTTTTTAAAATATGAGGACAATTAGTCATCTTAGAAAGTTGTGGGGGGGCCGGCCCGGTGGCGCACTGCGCTAGTGCGCCGCTTGGGAAGTGCGGCAGCGCTCCCGCCGAGGGTTCGGATCCCACATACAGACTGGTTCCCGCTCACTGGCTGAGCGAGGCGTGGGGGCAACACCGAGGGTTGCGATCCCGTTGCCGGTCCCGGTCCGGTACGGAGGCGACACTGAGGGTTGCGATCCGTTGCCGGACACGGAAAAAAGACAAAAAAAAAAAAAAAGGAAGTTGTGGGGATAGTTCTTATTATCTAAAAAAAATAAAAGTACTGGAAAGAACGAGGGCATTGCAAACTAAAAGCCTAGGTTTTAATTCTAGCATCTTTGTTAACTGTATCATTTGTGACTGGCTACTTCACCTCCTTCAATCTTATTGTCCTCATAATTGTAATGGTAAAAAAAGAAAGTGCTCTGCAGCTATAAATTATTATATGATCCTTAACTATAAGTATTATTTAAATGTTTGTAGTTATAAGCTTTGAGATTGTGCCCCATCTCTAGAGCTGATTGGGCTATTTCATTGATTTTAATAATTAAATATTGCTACAATAGCTGCTGGACTTAGCTACTCAAAAGAAGTGTATATACTTTAAGAAAGCAATTAACTAGGTAATAAATAAAATTATGTAGATAATTTATTTGTTCCATAAGATAAAATCTTGTTATATTTTATGTCATTTTTCTCATATCCCATTACTCATGACCTACTTTTAAATTTTCTACTTGTCACAAAGTTCACTTTGTAAACATTGTCTTTTTCCATGTCTATTTCCAACTATAGTATAAGCACCTTGAACCCTCATGGGTGTAGGCCACTTCCTCTGTTTATATTTCACCTAATACATAAATGAGAACTTCAAATATTGCCATATCACTATTGACCATATTTCACACAATAAGTATTAAGTAAAGGACTGTGAATGGGCCATTGTTATACCAAGAGGATTAGATAAAGAAACAAAGGTTTAATTCTTCTTATCAGTAATTCTGAATCACTATCAAGACATATTCCTATATAAGCTTTTTTACTGAAATATTCCATATCCTAATCAACTTTGTTTGATTAATTTCTTAACATTTCTGGCATACTTCTATTTTCAAATTATTTGAGGTAAGCACAACATTAAGACCCACTGAAGTGATTATCCTTAAAAAAAAAAAAAAAAAGCCACCAAAGATGAAAAGCATATAATCTTGCTCTCACCCCACTGAAATAAGCATTCTCTAATGCAATTTATACCATATGTCTTAGATTTTCAAAACTAACTTTCCATTTATGAAGAAAATTTATAAGTAGAAACCCTTATTTTTTCCATGATACTTCAGTAATGGTAAAATTAAAGAAAACCACCATCGAACATCCTTATACTTTGTATAAGACACCACCACACATAATGGGAAATGTAAAAAAGGCATAAAGCTATCAGTTTCTACCATTAAGGTACTCACAATCTAAAAATAAAAAGATAAAGGGAATGAGTACCACAGGACACACATCTGCTTGAATTATGAAGTAGTCAGAACAGCAGAAATCAAAGTGTGATTAATTTTATTATTAAATTTTATTATTCTAAGATGACTCTATGAAAATTTGGTACATGTAAAATATATATTTTATAAATATTCCATTCAGCTTCTAACAAATTTTGTTTTAATGCTCATTTGCTGTTAAGATTGTAAAAATACCTTCCTTTAGATAAAACAAATATTATCCTTTTATAAGTAAGGCAAAGTAATTGGAGTCCCTTTCTCAGATTAAATTACCTCCTTTGATTAAGTTATACACTTACATTTTGCCAATTGCTGGTGTAAATTATTCAATGTGTTCATCAGATTTTTACATGGCTTCTTTGGAAGTATCTTCCAGGCTACATTTTTCTTATCACCAGTTCTGAGATTAAATAACAATAAATATTTGTTACACACTTGGATCCCTGTACTGCCCCCCCTGCCCCCCCCGTATACATTTGTTACACAGATTTTTGGGGCGTAAAGTTTGTATATGTTATATACATAAAAGGGAAAAGAGAAAATGCATTGAACCAAAAATGAAACACATTCAAAATATTTTAGTTAACAGGAGAAAAATCCCACAGGTATATATTGCGATGCTGAATATTTATTTTTATTTTATTTTTTAAAAGATGACCAGTAAGGGGATCTTAACCCTTAACTTGGTATTGTCAGCACCACACTCTCCCAAGTGAACTAACCGGCCATCCCTATATAGGGATCCAAACCGGTAGCCTTGGTGTTACCAGCATCACACTCTCCCAAGTGAGCCACAGGCCAGCCCTGGGATGCTGAATATTTAAAACTTAATTTTGTTTTTTAGATTTCACAGGATTTTTTTATCGAAACATAATTGATTATATGTATTTGTGTGGTACAGAGCTGAATATCAATACCTGCTGAATATCAAATCAAGATAATCAGTATACTCATCTTTACAAAATGTAGTCATTCTTTGTGACTTGATCAATTTTTTGCTAAACACCCCCCCACCTCTAGTAACCATAGTTCTGTTCTCTCCTTTTGAAAGTTCAATGTTTTATTGTGACTGTTGTTTGTTTCTTTCTCTTTCATTTATTTTTTAGCTCCCACTTATAAGTGAGGACATGTGGTATTTCTCCAAAATATACAAAGATATCAAGTAACTCAAAAATGAAAAAACAAGGGCCGGCCTGGTGGCGCACTGGAGAGTGTGCTGCTTGGGAGTGCGGTGGCGCTCCCGCCGAGGGTTCGGATCCCATGTGGAGACCGGTTCCCGCTCACTGGCTGAGCGCGGTGCGGGCGCAACACCGAGGGTTGCGATCCCGTTGCCGGTCCCCGGTACGGGCGCGACACTGAGGGTTGCGATCCCGTTACCGGTCAGTAAAAAAGACAAAATGGAAAAAAAAAAAAGAAAAAACAAGTAACTCAACAATGAAAAAACAAGTAACCCAATTAAAAAATGGGCAAAGGAATTGAATAGACATTTCTGAAAGCAAGACATACAAATAGCCAACAAATACATGAAAAAATGTTCAACGTCACCAAGCATCAGGGAAATGCAAATCAAAACCATACTGAGATATCATCTCACCCCAGTTAGACTGGCTATTATCAAAAAGACAGAATAACAAATGCTGGTAAGGATGTGGAGAAAGGGTAAGCCTTCCACACTATTGGTGGGACTGTAACTTAGTGTAGCCATTATGGAAAACAGTACAGAGGTTTCTCAAACAACCACAGATAGAACTGTCATTTTACCCAGCAATTGCACTACCGGGTATACACAAAAAGGAAAGGAAATCATCATGTCAATGGGACACCTGCACTCCCATGTTTATCATAGCTCTATTAATAATAGCCAAGATATGGAACCAACCTAAATGTCCATCAACAGATGACTGGATAAGGAAAATGTGGTATATATACACAACAGAACACTACTCAGACTTAAAGAAGAATGAAATTCTGCCATTCACAGCAACATGGATGAACTTGGAGAAAACTATGTTAAGTGAAATAAAAATTAATTTATATGAGGGTAGAAACTTGTTATTAAATATAGCTCAAGGTGAAAGCAAGATGGCGGCGGGGAGGTAGGCAGAGCCGGATGCCGCTACTGCCAGTGCCACCACCGCCTCCGCTCCAGGCGCCTCTGGTTCTTCAAGCTCTCGCTGCCCGGGAGAAGCTGTTCTGGCTTCGGATCCCGCCGGGAAACTGCCACGCCTGATCTCCGCCAACAGGCTGCAGCACGGTCGCACGGACCCACCGCTGCCCTCCGGCCGCCGCTGCACCAGACCACGATCGCCGAGCACCCTCCGGCCGGTGACAGTGCGGCCGCGGCATCCAGAGCCCGTGGGGGCTGTGGACCGGCTCCTGGAGCAACTACAGTTAGTGCGAGTGGGGCAGGACGCGTGCAGCCTGCCCGCCCGCCCGCCTGGCGACCTGCAAGAGACTTGTGGAGAGGAGCGGCCGTCTATTCTCTTTCTCCATGGCGAAAGTGTGGAGCTGCTCCGGCTTGGCCTGCGGGGGAGCCCTGGGAGCCGCAGGATTTCTCTGTGACATTCATTTTGTGCCCTGAAACCAGAGTCTTCCCTTTGCTCAACACTACAGTGGAGGTCAAGATGGCGGAAGAGGAGAGCTGCCTGCCACTTTTCCACCACGAGTAGAAGCAGCCTGAGGCCTGCACCAGATGCAGCTGTAGCAGAATCGGAGCAAAGGAACGCTTCGAAAGGGGGGCCTTACCCTGCCGAGAACCGGGAATCTTCCCCTAACCCACGCGTGCGACCCACCCGCATTGCAGCCACAGACGTGGAAACATGGAGGCCTGAGCCAGCGTGTGTCACCCCAGGCTGCAGCGGTGACCGCGGCTTCTGATCCCCCGCCCCCACCCGCCCGTCCGTGAAGTTGGAAGTGAATTAACCTGCGGCCAAGACAGGGAGATGTCCAGTGGGAGAGACAGAAGCTCTGCGGAATCCACACGCCTTGCGGGGCCGCCACTGTGTGATCCAACAGGTAGGCATCACCGCTGCCACCTGGCTTCATTCCCAGCCCAGCCCAGTACACACAGAGCAGGGAGACATCTGGCAGGGGAGGCGGGAACCCCACACAGTCCACGCTGCTGCCGCTCAATCCAGCAGCCTGGCCCAATGTGTAGGGAGCACAGAGTCATCCAGCAGGGGAGATAAAAGCTCCAAAAGGCCACACACCCTGTGGGGGGGGCCACTGCCGTGTGATCCAGCAGCAGGTAGGCTTCACCGCCGCCACCCAGCTCCATCCCAAGCCTGCCTAGGGCGCACAGAGCAGGGAGACATCCTGCAGGGGAAGGGGAAGCTCTGCAGAGCCCATACACTTTGCGGTGCGTTGGTGCATCCCAGCAGCCCGGGCCAGAGCGCACGGAACAGGGAGTCAGTGAGGTAGCCATACCAAATTGGCAACCACAGCAACATCTTAGTCATTAGTGTCAAACCTGTGGACTGTGAAACCCCCTGCCACAATGAATAAACATCAAAGAAAAGATACGAGAAATACGAAAAATCAAGAAAGTACACCACCAAAAGATAACAAATCTCAAGCTCTAGATCCTATAGAACAAGAAGCCCTTGAAATGACTGACAAGGAATTTCAAGTGATAATTCTAAGGAAACTGAATGAGATACAAGTAAACTCAGCTAGACATCATGATGAAATGAGGAAAAGTATACAGGACCTGAAAGA